GCGTGAGTGGTAATGGGACTCTTCTACCGTGATACTGGTTGGTGTGTGTGTGACCACTAGTGCATGCTCGGTGCACGTTCTAGCAGTACAGTAGTTAGTTAGGTCGCTCCAATGCACAGGCCTCCCCGCTCATAGTTATAAGGGGCGTTTTAGGTTGCTGCCTGGCTGAATAACCCTGTTCTCCATTATCACGCTCAGTAAAAGAATTTCGTGGTGGCGGATAAAGGAGATGGGTACGACAGAGTAAGACTTCCCCACGTTTTTTCTGTCATGAACACACATCTGGCGAGCCCAAATCGTACGCGAGAAAAATGGGGGGATGTATATGATGTAGTAAATTGGATATCCATACCGAAACCAAGGGGTGATAATAAGCAGTACTCTAACACTTCCTTATTGTTTCATTCCTGGTCAGTTTTATTCTAGTGCTTCCAGGAATCTGCACCTGAAACAATTCATTTCAAATGAAACATCCTGAATATACAGTAGTTATAAGACAATTTGTGCTTTATTAACTGATGTAATATGTATGAAGGACAAACACTTTTGATGAGAATTCTACTGTTCAGACATCAACTACTGCCATGTACTAATATCGGGATGCACAATCACAGTAATAAGCATCCTTTTTGTAGCTCGCTTTGACGATGTCAAGATGAGCTATTGCCATGGGGTGTCGTCCGATCAGTTGGCGTCAATGCATTTGGCTACCGGTCAACGTAATCAAGTCGTTTCGCACCCACATGGTTCAAGAAATTGAAGATATAGTGTTAGCTCCCTATTGCGCGGGGTTGACCGTCCTTATGCTTTGGTAGCAACGAGTGCGACCGCATACTTTTCGAGCACGTCCCTTTTTGGAACAAAAATGGAAGTGGCAATAAGTCAGTTTCAGGCTTCAAGGATTTGCTATTCTGGTTAATTATTTTTTTTTCTTTATTTATGCATGAATGAGGACTGGCCCCAAAAATATTCACACAGTTTTGATAATATTTTGTATTATTGCAAGATTAGGGTAGATTTTGCAATTTTAACATGGCATTCGTGGCTGGCCTACGGTCAATGAACAAGAACCCTTGGACCGCATGTTTCAAAATTGAAGTCAGTTTACTCTATGGGAGAGAGTTAGAAGTCTATTTGGGAGCACGCAGTCAACCTACTTCTCGAAGGACGCTCTAGATAATTCGATTTGTGTTAAATTTACTTACCTAATCATTACCTCGTGTATTACTGTGTTTTAGATTTTCGTACAGTATTTGACTGGATTTTTAATTACTTTATTTGCGCGATAATCGAAAACCAAAATGCGATCATTAGGCTCGTGGTCATCTCTCACCAGATTTCAGACTTTGCATGAACAGTAAAACTAATGTAACTAACCCTGAAACAAAACGGTAAAATTTCTATTAGTATAAAACAAGGACCTTTGATCACATTTCGGTTCGTCATAAATGAAACATTACAATTTTAAATATCATTGCTTTCTATCACCCAAGGTGAGCTATAGTGGTCATTGACACTTTCAGTAACCAAGAGACAAATGAGAACTCTATGCCTGCAGTACATGTCTGATGGCAGTAATTGGTGTCTGTCAGTATAACACTGTGTAATAATTAATAAAAGCAAATGTTAATGACAATAAATTTCTAGCTTGAGATGTGCAGTACAAAAAAAAGAAGACTAAACTGTCAGAATAGTGAATTTTCGCCAATGATTGGTAGATATGACTCCATGCTGAAACATATTAACAGTAGAACTATGCCAAAACTTTTCTGCAAAGAAATCCTAAAGAATAAAGCTGCCAAGTGACTTATGAAGTCGAAATGTAAATTGTCAGAATTGGATTTCGGTGGAACATTAATGATGAAATTGCTGCAAGTGTATGGATTAAAAGACTTTAAAAAGGGTCCACTAGGATCAATGCAAAAATGTATGAATGAAATATTCAGTACTCGGACTGTATGAGTATTATGTTATGAGTGATTAGGATTATCACGGTTCTCGATGTTTTACTGCAGAGCCATGTGTAATTTTCCCATCATGGTGCAATCAACTCGTAACTGGAAACATTCAGTCATCAAGGCAAATATAAGACGAATGTAAGGACATAAGTAAGAAACACATGGCACTATTCTAGTGCATATATACTACATAGATTTGAAAATAAAGGCTAATATAGTAATATCTAATTACAATAAACCTTCTACATGGAGGCTCTAGTGCCAAATTAAATGTCGACAGTTATCTGGACAGAAATAGTGAATGTTCGTGCTAAGATGTTTGGTACATCTGACTGCATGCTAAAACATACATCCCGCTAAGCAGATATGCTATGAATAAGGGCTAGACACATGATAGCGCTGAGAGTAGAAGTATTGGAACAGTCTCGTGTTTATCTATACATACTAGCCATAGTTACTTATGATGGTGAGTTGATTTTTGATGCTCACTGAGTGTGGGTAAGATTTCAATATTGAGGATTTTTTTAGATTATTACTGTGTGTATTAACGTAAATCGATTTGTTTATATTTTTGAGTGTGCTGGTGGATACTATTCGTTCGAGGCATAACATTTATTGCCCTCCGAGTTCATTCGACATGCTTTAGAATTGTTCTGTGACTATTTGATGTGATATCTGTATTTTTTGTCAGTAATAGACTTATGTATTGTTCCGTATAATTGTTTGATATACTGTTTTTATGTTGTTGACATACAGTCCTCTCAAGTAGTCATACGTTATGGATCAACTCCGTTACCGAACGATAAATAATAATTCGATCTATATAGACTGGGCAACGCAACTACGATAACGGAGCGCGTTGCAGTTGCTAGAAATTATTTGCCGCGATCCTGTTATAGTAGGCAATGCGCCAAATGAAGTTCAAGAAACTTAGACAACGCTGATAAGCAGTAATCTCGTCATCTGGCACAAAACTACGAACGCCTCAGCGTAGAGGCTCGCATCAGCTAAGGAAAAATGTAGCTGCTGGACACTATATCAGTAACATCAGTAGGAAGTGTCAGATATATGTCAATAAGCAGTCGTTGTATCAGCTATATCAGTAACATCAGTAGGAAGTGTCAGATATATATCAATAAGCAGTCGTTGTATCAGCTATATCAGTAACACCAGTAAGTGTCAGATATATATCAATAAGCAGTCGTTGTATCAGCTATATCAGGAACACCAGTAAGTGTCAGATATATATCAATAAGCAGTCGTTGTATCCGCTATATCAGGAACACCAGTAAGTGTCAGATATATATCAATAAGCAGTCGTTGTCAGGGATTTCTCGACGATCTCCATTAACACGGAAAATACTCGATCTTATACACTTTTTTTGCCTGTTTTTGGAAAACTTAAAGGGAAAATTTTTTAAGATGGTTAAATTCTAAAACTCGGTCCGTTCAGCTTACTGCACCAGAACACAACATCGACGTTAAAGCAATGGTAGAGAAAACAGCTGCTGTTTTATATTGTACTGCATACAAATGTACAAAATTCACCACATACAAACATACAAGCTAGGTTACTTCGCCACATAAAATTACACAATGTACGCTGCGTAGAAATATACAATGTACTACTACGTGACATAAAATTATACAATGTACACCACATACAAATATACAGAGTTACTTTGCCACATAAAATTGTACAATGTACGTCACGTACAAATATACATGGTTCGTCACATACATATACACCAGAATTAAACAAAGGGTTTCATGGCATATTGGCAGTTACACCAAACTGATCATGAAAAACGAATGCTGACGATTACGTACGCTGCTTAATTAGCATGATTAACTAACACATCTGACAGTTCCTCAGATCTCGGTGATGTATTGAGGGACGTTGTACCGGTGGACTCATATCACGACCTTTCTTCTGGTGATCACTCGCCCAATATCAACGGTGCACTCCTGAGTATTTCACGCTCTTCCTTTCTTCCGCTCTTCCTTTCATCAAAACTATGGCTACAACTCATTCTTGTTTGGTGTCTAGACAAAATTAAAAGAGCAGTAATTAAGTAAGCTCACGTGCGTGCGTGCGTGCGTGCGTGCGGGCATGCATGCGTGGTTGCGTGCATATCATGTTAATCTCTTTTCTATCCATTTACAATACAATGCGATAAATTTTTCGATTAGTCATTTTTTTCTCAATATTTTAATTAAGCACTCTCCTCCAACTGACCTTTTTGTACTTGAGCTTCTCCTTCCTCTTGCATCCCTCCTTCTCGTCAACGCCATTGAGACAGTCCTTGCTGCCATCGCAGAGTTTCTTAAGAGGCAGCAGCGAGTAACCAGCGTCACTCTGCTTCACCTTACAGGCAAACGTTCCTTTAGCCTCGTCGACGAGTATGTAGGAGTCATCGTCACAGCTGACCACGCACTGGTGAACAGGGATAGAATACGTCACTCGCGAGTGAAGCGCACGTTATTTCGCTTCTCGATATTCGCTTTGCGTTAATTGCGAAATCGGTGCATGTCGCTTGATTTATGCTATTTGTTGTCACAAATTTGTTGTCATGATGTTCCTGTATTGTTTTGAGGTCATATAGTTTTTATTATTACTCCTACTGCTGCTGCTGCTACGACTGCTGCTGCTGCTACGACTGCTGCTGCTGCTACTACTGCTGCTGCTGCTGTTGCTGTTGCTGCTCCTGATGCTGCTGTCCCTCCTCCTACTCCTCTACCTCCACTCCCCATACTCCTCCAACATCTACCTCCCACAACCCCCCTTCTCCTCCTATCCTCCTCATTTTCCTCCCCCTACCCTTCCTCTTCCCACTACTACTACTACTACTACTACTGCTACTCCTACCGCCACTTCTATAAAGGAAGGGACGACGCATATTTTACTGTTAATTCGGTGCTTGGCCTCATCTAGACGATACACGATAGATGCTTTTTACTTACAGCTAATGCAAGGAGCGTCACAATCAATATCGCAGCAACTGCAGAAACTCTATTCACAGCTGAAATTAGAGTGCATTTTGGTTAATTTCTTAATTCTGAGCAATACAGAAGATAATTAAATCTGCATCATCTAGAACTGTATGAATAGTGCATCATCTAGAATTATAGAACTCATAGTTGACAGCATGTACGCCACTTCAAACAGAGTGATTATAAATATTACATGGTTGTTTTGATTATACGATACCTGTTCCATGTATACCTCAGTATTTATCATTTCTGCGATTGCAACTCTACAAACCACATGGCAAAACCACCTTTATAGAACGGGCAATTGTATATAAAGGACAAAGACATTAGTTTAGGTGGTTATCTTGTGACACTCTGACACACATATGGGTTTGACTATAGTTTCACTTTGAACCCAGAGTAGCAGTTGTATGCTTATACTACTACCCGTGGCTCTGTATTACCATAGCTCTAGAACTATAGCCTTTCGCTCCGCCGCAGGCCTGCCAGGGGGGTTCGGGGGCATGCCCCCTAGAGAATTTTAAAAAAAAGGTGCAATTTGGTGCATACTAAGCTATTCTGAACACATTGTATGAGATTTTCGTCAGCAATGTGGTGTTTTGGACAAATTTCTGTGCGGCAGCTGAGAATTTGAGCCTCGCTCGTGTCAATGCAGGGGAAACACTGCATAAACAATTGGAAAAATATTTATCATGTTTTGTAAGAGTTAGAACTTGAAGGATACCTACAGTTTGCAAATAGAACCCTAGGGGTGGCCACACTGGACTTTCACACGTGCTGTGGTTAGCACGTGTAATTTATTTGTGTCGGGATCATATTTCCCGCTCCTACCGCGAAGGTAGGACGGTGATGCAGTAGCAAGAAAAACCCCAGAATGAAATGAACGCAAGTCCTTAGATAGTCTTTATACAACTGATGGTTTTATTCATCATATACGAATAACATTAATAACGCAGATGGGGTAGTTGTCGTATCAGTTACTACAGATATGTACCCGAGGTAGTTTTATGTTGTTTAGTATTATGTTTATATTTTTATATGAGGTATGTTTAGGGTTAGGGTTAGGATTAGGGCTAGGGTTAGGGTTAGGGTTAGGGTACATGCACTTCTGTAGTACAAGTCTGGTAGACTTTGTGTATACATATATGGCTCAGAGTAGCGTTTACACCCCCATGTCGTGAGTTTGGTTAATGTGGGAGTACAGTCTTAAAAATTTACAGATACCTTACAATTAACAGATTAATTAATTATTTACAGATTGCCTTCATCTATCTGTATAATTATATACAGTGCGTGCGGTGCGCGGTGCTGCAGCATTTCTAGCACGGCTTGTCGGCAATTATAGCTAGGTATATACATCCCTATCTCGCTCTACAGCAAGTCTCCAGCAGTGTGTGGTCGCGAAGGGATTTATATTCATCATGTCTTAACATACGTGGTCGCACCAGTCGTAGCCCGACCAGGCTGTGCGACGGATTGTCTATACAATCCGTATAGGGTATCCTAACCCTATACGGGTATCCTAACCCTATAAGGGTATCCTAACCCTAGCGATACCGTTTCTCGGAGCTACACCAGTCGCAGAGTCGCAAGCCTTCTGCTATATAAGCATATATGTCCATTGTGTACTTGCCTATATATATATATATATATATATATATTCTATTATATCTCTCT